ATTATATATATATATATATATATATATATACTTAATTATATTTTTATACGGAAAGTAAAGTCGAAATAAATTTCATATACTATGCCTTTTAATTTTATTAACTCTGGACTAAATACTTGACTGAATCGAGAGCATACACACATACACACACATACACACATACATACATATAAACATATGTATATACGTATGTATGCAAGAAAAAGAAACGCATATACACGTGCATATATACATATATACACATACACAATTGGTATTTTACTGTTTAGCCCTTTGGCAGCGATAGGGAATTGTTTTTTTTTCCTCTCCTTCTTTTTCTATCCACGACTCTTGTCTACCCTGCTTGTCATATATCTAGAAACAGCTAGATAGAGCCTATCTATTTAAGTAACTATTATCGTAAGATAACAGGTGTAATATGAACCCGCGTACATACAAGTGTGGAAATTCTCATCTAACAAAACGGACAACGCAGTCGTGGAACAAAGGCGGATTCCATTTAAGTTACGAGCTTGTTTGAACGACACGGATGTGTCTTATTTTGATCGATTTTCTCTCGTCAATAAAATGGCGAATAAACATGTGCCTGGTTTTCTCTCTTTCTCGTTGCGTGTCTGGTACATTGAGTATAAATACATGTGCACCATCATACCACCAGTTCGTATTATCATATTCGTACATGAATACGAAGATAAAGCTATCTTAGACTACATTCCTTCCAACGAGAATATAGAGAATACATTTACTTTGTGCAAATGACAGTTAAATTATATACTCCGTTTTCAATCTTTGTATATTTAATTAGAGATCCTATCGCTAGATGAGAACGCTGCTGCGATTGCACATTAGTGTCTAACCCATTAAAAGACATTTACTCTCATTTCGTCAGGGGATTCGATTTAATGAAAATGTGATCGTGTTCAAAATAAGCTTCAAGGTATCCTGTGTATAATGAGTTTTATTCTTTTTTTTTTTCTAGTGAATAAAACACAGTTACATAATTATCTTTTGTTTTGTGGTACTTTTGTCGATGCAATATAACATATCGAAGAAAGTTTTAAAGTTTAAAGGTGATCGTAATGGCCTGTAATGGATTACGAGCAGCGTTCCAGAATACTTTATCGGTTGTACTCAGAGATCCATTGGAATGCAAAGAAACATTATGTATATAACTTGAATTTGAATTTTTCATTGTGTGTGTATGCCTTATTTTTCTTTCTTTTTATATATATATACAATAACGCACCCTTTCGTCGTTCACCCGCTGTCACCAATATTGAAATAGTCTAAACTTTGCTTTTCTCTACATATGTGTGTATATGTATATCAGTGTGAGCACTTTACATAGAATACATCGCCTCCCCTGTTCGCAGTAAACAATTTAGATAGTGTAATATGTTAATACGTTACTGTTAGAGCATCGCAGTATAATTAAAAAATCCATCAGTTTGGTCCTAACTCTTTAAGGGGATAGATACATGTACACGTCTCGCGCTCGTCGATAACGAACGGACTGAAAGAATAGAGGAACATTGTAGATTTGAATCTATCGTAGTACCTTGCCTTTTGGAATCTTGAAAAAGATCCAGCAGAAATAACTATATAAATATACATTTAAAATTCTTAGAACTTTCTTCGAATCAAATTTCCTGATCACATGTACACTTTCGCAAAATTGAGAAAATACTCTTGAGCTCTCTTCCGAAAATACACGATCTAGTACATCACACTTTCGATTGAAATAATAGTTCGAAATACAGAGCATTAATATGCAACATTTAGAGATTTTCAATTGTACATTAATATATTAAACTGTGGAATTTTTTAACTATTTAACTACGATCAAATTCGCGATGTTAAATCACATATTTCCTTTGTTTTTATCTTTTATGTACTTTGCAGCAAGCATTTTGTCGTTTGTTAACGAACTCCAATATCTATTATTATCGAACTACGAACTGCTGTTAAGTAATTATAATTTTTTATCTATATAACATTTCTCACGAAACCAAATTCTCCTTCGTAATTATGCATTAAACAAAAGAACCAGACGATTCTGATTCTTTTCCATTTTGTCTTTCTTTTTTTTTCTTTTTATAATAACTACATTATAATAATCTTTGACTGTAGATACATTTATCTAAAACGCTTGTAAATGTAAAATAAATTAAAATTGTAAGTAATTTGTAATAGACACTGAATCTAGACACGTAAATTCCAGAAATCGTCCATATTCTGTGGAATCGTCTATGACAGAGCGTAACAGGGTGTACATCTGTAGGTATGCGTCTGTATCTGTGTTGACATGTATAAGGAAATTGATTTAATCGTTCATAATAGAAGCTATCGAAGCCTCAATCTTCAGCTCGCATACCCCGTACTTCACCTTGATGTCTTTGCTGCAATTGAACACATAAAGAACGTTTCAGAAAACGTTAAAATTTTTGACTTTTGATAGAAATGTAGGAAATTCAAAACAAAGACAAGACAATTGAATAAGTTTGAAAAAAGCGTGCCTTACCCTGTCTAATTCTTCTTTCGTATTGTCTTCGATTGCTCTAATATCCTCCATGGTTAAGCCGTACCAACGATCTATCCAGCAGAACACTTGCCTGTGGAAATTGGTAAAGAGGCGTCGTTCCGCTTTCTGAATGAATCCTTCGACACGGGTCTGCAGACCGAACCATTTGAATTCACAAGTGACTAGCTTGTAGCACGTCATCACAGGTTGAACATTATTTTTCCAGTCTTTCCCGACAAGGGGACCCCGTCCCGTCTTCTGGGACTTGAATTTAGACGGATCCTCGTCCTCCTTGTAATCGGCACTAGCAACCGGGTCGTTGGCGATGTCTATGTGCACTACCTCTCTGATCTTAAGCTTATCGGGTGGCAATTCGTGTACCTGTTTGTAGAAAAAAACATATGTAAATGATGAAGACTTATTCATCAAATTTCGTAGCGGAACTTACATTATGCTGATTACCGACGTCACCAATATGAAAGGATTCTATCATGATCACGAAATTGTCCTTCATATACCCTGGATTCTGCGAAAAGATCAAGGTAACGTTTACGAACATATTCATACATAAATTTTGCATATATCTGCATATACGCGTCACTTACAGTTATAACTGTTTTACAATAGGGATAAGCGTTCCAAGCCTCTTCATGGATCTCCAACGAGTTCTTTGGCAGTAACATGCGAATAAAACCAGGCACTTTACTAGCTAAATGATAAATCTTATATGTATATTGGCCTGATGAATACTTTCCACCGAGCAACGGATAATCCGTAAACGGCTCATTCTTCAATACTTCAATGCCTTCTCCACCACCTGTATTATTTTTACTAGCCTCTGCTACAGAGTACAGTTGAGCTACTTGATACTGTTAATTAAAAAAGAGAAAAATATATAAATACCTAATAATTTGTAAGGCAGATTAAGAGATATTATATAATCTAGGCAGGAGCTACTTTGTTCTTTGACCTGTTTTTTGATTGAAGTTTTATTCATTCTTCCTCATTTATTATTATGATTTGTCAATCTGGGATATAAAAAAAGAAAAGATCTTAAGAGGCTATCATAGATTCTATATCTACTTCTAGATACCACTACATATAATAATCATAAATTATCTCTATTAAAATATCTCATAGACATCATTTTATTATCTCAGTAGTAAACAGATAATGAATAGAAAAAAAATAGAAACATAATCTATAGTTAGATAATAACGAAGAAATCAATGTATATGATAAAAAAAGCTTCTAATTACAAACGCATTATTGTTTATGCAAGTAACTCTACGTAAGTACACTCAGACAGGTATATATGTTATGTAGGGGATAATTAGATGATTGGCGAATTTTCATGATTGCACGGCAATGCCAAGGATCTAATTTCAATTGTCTTTTTTTTTGCAATCTAAAATCCAGGTGAGTCGTGAAGGTTTTGACAGATCAGACACGTACCTCTTCCACTGTGAGGGGCAGAGTGACACGGCTGCAACAGAAAAATGACGAATTATGTCAGCGTTACAGATCAGACGAAGAAGGTAGGAAGGAGGTGAAGGAAATCGTAACGCGAGCATGTCCTTGAATCGCAGGACAGTAAGCACGCGATGCCGCGAGGTGCGTGTATCGCCAAGCCGATTTTAATTATATCAAAGCTGACTAATAAAGTCCCGAGATTTACGATTGATTTCAAGTCGATCTGTCATATACAGTAACCAGCGCCGAGGGAGCCTGAAGGTCGAGATATCGACTGCACTTTTCTCATATTACAGGAATCCGTTTGCTCGGACTTTGATGAGAAGCGAGAGAGAGAGAGAGAGAAAAGTACAAAGTGTAGAAAGTGCAATCAGCGCGGAATCATGCGGTAAGGGATGAGGGCCACCATCCCTTCTCTCTCTTTCCCTCACTCTCGCTCTTCATCCTCTCTTCTTTCAATCCCTTTCTTCCCCTTTTCATTCTGAAAGGCCGCCGTAAAAATCAGCAATCGTCGCGCCCCTCACGTCGTCCGGCTTTGAATTTCCCTGCGCTGGGCCTTTGCAGGTCAAGGCAATGAGCGAATTTCGAACGTTCGTGTCCGCGCCGTGTGCGCACCTCGACAGCTCCCGCTTCATGCAGTCGGATCCGTCATCCGCCGTCCTCCTCTCCTTCCCTCCCTCCCTTCTACCTGCCTAATCCCTCTTTATCCCGCGCTGCACTTACTATTCCTTGATGAGCATTTTAGTCAGAGCACATGGACCAGTGGCGCGCGATCAGTAGACCCGCCGTCGACGACGACGACGATGGAATGGAATAGCAGACCCACCGACACCGCACCCTCTCCTCGTCGGCCACCAATCGGACTCACGACTTGCGCTATCGGCTCGCTATCGGCTCGCCGCTGCCGTCGCAGTGTCATACACCCGCAAGGTACGAGCAACACCGACAGGACTCGTCAACCGACTGACACACTCCGGCCAGACCGTTCCGACCACTCCACCGTCCGCACCACCAGCAGCAGCGCACCAGCACCAGCAGCAGCACCAGCAACCGCACCGCCACGGCCGTGCCGAAAGAGCCACACACACTTGCGCGCGCCCGCGCACACGTGTCGACTCCGCACTTTCCCCCTTTCCCCTGGCACCCGCGGCCGCCCCGTCGACAGATCGTCCGATATCTCCACTCCACTCCTCGCCCTACGGCCGTACTTTGCCGCTGACGTCATTCCATCGAGAGGTTAGGCGCGCGTGCGTATTGCCGGTTGCCAGTGCGAGCGCGTGTCCTCTTTGCGTTTGTGCGATTTGCGAGGAGAACACGTCTTTCGAAATTTATAATGCAATCGAATCATTACGTAGTGTGGGCGATTTCTATATCCTCCTTTTTTTTCCATTGGCGTCTATGCGATGCAAATTCAAAGATTTTCAAAATATGTATGCCTTGCAGCAGGTGTCGTGCTTTTTAGACGTGGGGGAAACGACGTTGGACATCCTGACGCGCATTAAGGGCGAGTTCTTAGAACGTCAAATAAACTTCGCTTCGAGGAAAAGGCGATAAAAATATGAAATAAAATTAAAAAATGATATCAAGATCAACCCAGCGATATATGCATCCAAAAGTCGGACACAAATGAACGGAAATAAGGAATTGAATATGAAAAAATTGAGAACAGAAAATCATTTTTTTACGAATGAAAAAATTATAGTATTATTTTTTCTCTCAAATAAAAGCGTTGATTGAAAAGAGAGAAATACGATATACACTTTTCTTGCCAATCAATGTTTATGTGCAGAGAAAAAAGAGAAGGAGAGTAGCACATGGCTCCTTATCGCACATTCTTCATTAATTGTTTAACTTCACGCTAGAGAGCGAACACTGTTACGTCATTGGTCGATCTTATTTAATAACGACTTGTCATTTCTGCTTTTATCTCACATTTTTCTCTCTTTCTTTCATGTTTTGATTTGATTTGAGTCAATTCTGTCACTTTTTATTCTCTCGCTTTTACTTCCGTCTCTTTTTCTCTCATGTTCCAACTCGATTCGGAATCAGCAATTTAAATACGCTTAGTAGCGTTTTCGATTTGCTGATTTGACTCGATGCGAATCAACTCTGTCTTTTTTTCTCTTATGATTTCTCCGATTTTACTCGCAATTAGCAAATCGATCATGTAAGATACCTCGTCGATGTTCATATAAAACGCACTTAATGTCGAGCGGGTTTTTTTGAACATCCAGTTTGTTATTGTTCATATCCTTGATTAGCATAGTTTTTGAATCTCGTTCGTTGATATTACAGTAAGAGATTCGGTCTTTCAGAAGAGAATCGATTTTAATAAAACATGAATCAAGTACAAAGCCCTCAATCAGGTATGCTTTAACAAGCAAAATTATTGCAAAATCACAGAATTCAATAACTTTGTATCGCACTTGTGAAATAATTTTCACAATCATCACCTTTCACTGCTTACTAAAAAGATTTTCAATTTTAGTTGCTGATGACGAGACGCAACAATCGGATGAATTCTCTTACAATAGCAATAATGAGGATATTCCAGAATATATGGAGAAAATTGCAGTGGATGCTATTGTAACACCGATGACAGAATTGATTGATGGTAAAATTGATGATATGACTATAGATTCTGATTACGAAATGGATGAAATCTCACAAACTGTCTTAATATTTGAAGTTCGATATCAAAAATCTCAAGAATTTTGACATTTTTAACATCAGTATTTCATTCTTGAAGATTAATAATATAAATACATAATTACAAATATATATATTTACAAATATAAGAGATTAATTAATTCTTGCAAAATAAAAATTTTTATTGTAATTATTATGATTGTAAAATATTAATTGTACTGCTCTGCAGTAAAATTTGAGATTTTTTACACTAAAAATATAATAAAAGTTTTAATACAAAACCTTTTTCAGAGGAATTGGATTGGGAAACGGACAGCAATAGTGTAATATTGGAGGAAATTTATTGCAAATGGTGCAAAAACTATACTAATAAATTCTACGAACATTTCAACATAAAGTTTGATATGGAAAATGGTTATATATGTACTTGCGAAAATTTAGATAATCCTTCTAATCAGCTTGATATTGATACATTAAATTATATAGACAAATTGGCAATGCGTATTATTCAGGTGACTATTTGCAATAGATACAATAATCATTGTATATATTTACAAAAGAGCTGAACGATATTGCTTGGAATAACCTTTTGTTATCCTTGATTTTATTGATAATTTTTATTAATCTCTAACGTTATACTTTCGAAATCATATATTTATATTTTTAAATATTATCATTTTCACTATAATTTAACATAATATTTCACTATTATATTATTTTTAGTATTCAAAAAATCAAATTTTATAATAAAGAATTTTTTATTAGGAAGTTAATTTTTATATAATAATATAAATAATAATAATAAAATATATAAAAATTAAAAATTAATTGCCAGTTTTATATTTCAAGGTTGATATTAGTTACACATTATATAAATTTTTATTGAGAAAGATTTATATAAGATTAAACATGCAGTTCCTAATTTTCGAAAGCATTGTATGTATGTAATAATTGAAAACCATAATGTCATAAGAATTATTTGTATAGTATTCTTTTCTTGGAAATTTCTTATTTATTGGCTATAATAGAAATAAATTATTACATTAGTGCTAAAATATTTAGTAAAAAATTAGTAATATAAAATATTTTTTATATTACTAAAACCAAAAAAATATTGATGTTAAATACTAAAAAATGAATATACTTAAATAATAAATATATAAATATTAAATGAATATTTCTAGAAGTATTAAAAATAGAATTAAATAAGAATTAAAAATATTTTTTTATTTATTGAGTTATTTTTTATTAATTTCTTGATAAAATTTTAGAATTACATATAGTTTAGAATTACAAATAGTGCTATTCATTTCAGGCACATAAAAACGATTTGTTGGAAATATTAGAATCTGAGCTTAATCGTTTATTAATTTTGAGCAACAAACAATCTGTGGCATTGTACCTTATACGATATGATGTCTTGGAACATATAATGGATTCACTGAAAAATAGATCACAATATATTGTATGATATGTTTATTTTTATCATAATAACTGATTACAACAATTATTTTTAAAGAAAATTTGTATAAGATTATTTTAATAATATTAATATATTTTTAGGGATTAATTTTAAATATTATTATCAATATATGCAAGTATAACAAGATAATAGATTTAATAGGCAATAATGATAAATTTACCAAAATAATCTTGAGCCAATTGAAAACCACTAACGTTTCAATATTATTGACTCTTATGAAATTTTTGACGTTAGTAGTAAACAATATCCAATTAAATCAGAATTCATGTTGGAAACAGCATTTGATGAAATGTGAATTTTTTGAATATAGTATAATTGTCATATTGAACTTATTAACTAACGGTAACTAATTTATTGTAATATATTATAAAAAATTTAATTTGGAAAAAAATAATCTTTTAAATTTTCGTTACAGATTTCGTATTGATAAAAACAGTGATTAAGTTAGTTAAAGATATGTCTGAGATAACATATAAGGAAACCAATTTCTTGGAACAAATATTTAAGATGTACGACTTAATTTCCGCATTGACGACATCTTGCTTACAGATAATAAAATGCGATAAAAAAAGTATTTTTAAAAAAGATTTAGAGTTTATCGCTAATTGGCTATCAATAATGATTACTATAAAAAAAACATTAGTTACTACATTTAAAGAGAATCAGGAAAAAGAGAAATATAATATATTGAAGATTCTGTTTGTCATATTGAAACCGTATCAACGAACAGGTAGTCTTTCTTTAGAATCAGAAATCAAACAAAATATTGATGTGATTTTTAAAAGTATATATTTATTATCGTATTTTCGTCGCCAATTTTATATCCCAATGATAATGGATCATATTTTGATAAAAATAATGTTGAATTTAAAAACAGGTATGTAATTTATTAATGCATTGTGGATCTTCAATATAATAATATGCTTCCTTTAATTAATAATATATTTATGTATAATAGTTACAGATACAAAAAAAGAAAATGTAAACTTAGAGAAGTTCTGTTGTATTTTTTTAAAATATTTAAACGTTATTTGGTTAAAAATCATGAAATATCATAGCTCTCAATCTCTCATAAAGTTACTTAACTTACATGATTCCAATGAAAGTCAATATTTAATAAATCTTGCAAGAAACTCTGATCCTGAACTACAGAATAAGATAAAAATAATCGATGATATATATGACATATCAAAATAATCTTAATAACAATAATAATTAAGAAATATCTTTT